TATCGATTATAAATGTCCAAACATAAGAAAATAAACACACACACGCACGCACACACATACACATGCACACACACGCACGCACGCGCACCCACACACACAAACACGCGCACGCAAACACACACACAAAATTATAAATCCAAAATCAAATCAAGAATCCAAAAAATCAATCCAAATAAAAATTTCATTTGATTTGATTTGATTTTTCGATTTAATCCAAATAATACAAATCCATGTTCTAGGATAGAATATTACTATCAAATATTGAGAAAAAATCAAAATGATCCTTAATGTATAAATTGAAATATAAATTGTTTTAGTCCTTCATATATACTTATACTACTTAATAAATATATAGTTCTTATATTAGCTAAAATATGATATTTTGTTTTTTAACAATTAACCCTCAATATATTAGAGATTATTTTGATCATTTTCTCATAAAAATTCTAAAATAGCGAGTTATGGGCCTCAAGCATTTTTTCTACAACAACTTTTCATTTTACATATTTAGTCCATCTCAATATATATATTTATTATTTAATTTACAATCTTTTAATGATACTAGATAAGTACTGTCCGTGCAAAATACGATTCCAATATTTAAAAAAACTATTAAGTATAATTTAGCAATAATTAGTTCCTTATAAATCATCATGATCTAAAATTATAATTTGCAAATAACAATAAATTCTTTAAGAGAGAATACATATGGATTTGCTCAACACATTAGTAATGTATAATTCCATATGTATGTGCTGATTTTAAACAATCTTGTAACATGTACACTTAAATGAATAAGCATTGCTCCCTTGTAGACATTATTTTGAGGAAGAAAATATCTTCAAGAAAATATATAACATGAAATCATTGATAAATGAAAGAGGACTCATTATTAACTCTATGTAGATTTTATCTTTTCATAACAACTAATAATAAAATACTAACTAAATATTTAATATAAGAAAATCAAAGAACATATCTTTTGTAATTATTTTTTCTTGAAAATCCAAAACAAAAATGTTATCGAAAATAAGTATATCTTTTTTGTGGTTTTTGGAGAGGAAAAAAAGAGAGCGGCTGAGTGTGTGTCATACTGTCTTGGACACTCAAACTCTTGATGAGTGGTATCTACCTTCACCTTATTCTGCTCTGCTTAGCCTCTCGGACACCCAAACTCTTGATGAGCGGTATCTACCTTCACCTTATTCTGCTCTCCTTAGCCTCTCGCTTGAGTGTAAGTGCATTTAGATAATTACAGTTAGTAGCTTCTTCAGCAATTCAATCACTAGAGTGAAGGGATGTAATAGGCAGAAAGGAGTGCAAGTCATGAGTGTTTTAGTGAGAATATTATAAATTAGACAAAAGTTTGTCACGAAATGAATAAAATGAAATTTTTGACAAGTGACAAAAGATTATTCGCTCTCTGTAGATTTTATCTTTTTATAATAATTATTGATAAAATACTAACAAAATATTAGATATAAGAAAGTCGAAGATCATATTTTTTGTAAATATTTTTCTTTGAAAATGAAACAAAAATATTATCAAAAAATAATTATATTTTTTTTTATTGTATTGTGATTTTGGAGAGGAAAAAAGTGAGTGCAGTGAGTGTGTGCATGTGTGCAAGGTGAGTGTCTTGGTGAAGATACCGTAGATAAGATTAAAAAAATTGTTTCGAAATAAATAAGATAAAACCTTTATTGAATGATAAAAGATCATTCACCGTCTTTTGATTTTATCTTTTTAAAATAATAAAATACTAAATATATATTAATATAAAAAATTCTGATTTATTTATCGATATAATTTTGTGTCTTACCATTTCTCTATAATTATTATTTAGTTATTTTAGACATTGTTGAACTTGTTAAATATGCGATTAAAAAAAATTTATCAGAGGTTTCATCCCAAATCAGTAAAGGGCATATATACTTTAATTTTTGAATGACATATAAATAAATATCTCCAAAATATAGTAAAGAGTTTACATACCATTTATAATTGTTTTGAGGTATATTTATCCTTTTTTCCTATATAAATACTTTGATAGCCTCTCGACTATCTAACCTTTCATTCATCTCTATTCACTTTTAATATTTCTCAAGCACTACTATCATTATCTCGTTTTTGTACCTTCTACTACTATTTGTTCCATACACATTTGCGATATTATTTCAAATGAATTTAAATTATATTATATTCATTTTTTTTATTTTCATAAATTTTAATCTGTAAAAACGGGTTAATATATACAAATGACTAGATTGTATATATTTATACATTTTATCAGTTTATTTTTGATTTTAGAAGTATTTTGAGGTGTTATGGATCTCTTCCTTGTCACCTATATTTGAGTATGAGTGCAAGGTGAGGGTCTTCGTAAATATATTATAGGTTAAATAAATGTTTGTGAAGAAATGAATAAGATTATTGACCCTCTCTAGATTTTTTTTTAAAATAATAATTAGTAATAAAATACTAACTAATTATTAAATACATAAATACAGGAGAACAGATTTTACCTTACATGAAAAAGGGAATCGGATAAATACCTCTCAATTTTGATTTATTATTTAACTTTATCCTCGTCTTAAAATAAATTTTATATATATATATAAGGTAAAATCTGTTCTCCAGTATTTATGTATTTGAATTCTTTGCTCAGCGCTATGTATTAGTACAACTCTTCTCCTCATTTGTCAGTTCAGCTTTAGCGGATCACTTCTGGTATGGTCCTAATGTCGCCTCTACTGTTGTTTTGATTTAGTAATTATTTACTTTTCTACAGTTGCATCTGCAATTTCGAATTTTTGAAGACTCTCAGCATTGCGTTTCCTTTAATTTTTGTTTTTGATCTCCATTAAAGGATTCACTTGTGTTTTCAAATGGCTGTAAAATAATTTTTTTTTGTTCTTCAGTTGAAATGTGTGTTTTGCATATTTTTGAAGTAATTTTTGCCTATTGTTGTTCATTCTTCTGATTTTGAGTGCTAGATCCTTGCAGAAAATATCTGACGTTGAAGTATTTTTCACCAGTAAGTATGTGCCATTATTACTTATAATACTGGAATTCGGTATAGTTATTAGTGTTTCAATGGTGATTCAAGTTGCTAGTTATGCTAAATAATGGAGAGAAGAAAGATATTAGGCTAAAAAGTGTATTGGTTTCGGGGATCATTTGGGATGAGTTAGGGTTTGGCTCTTAATGAGGCGTTTCTGTTGCCTTTTCCTTTAATAAACTTATCGTCATCTGTTTACTGCAAATTGTAACTGATTAAGCTCTTGTTTTTATATTGAATATATGCTACATTTTAGATAAGGTGATTATGCATATGCCACATGTGTTGTCCTTCATTTACTGATGGATTACTTGCAAAAGTTATGCTGGAAAGTGGGATTGAAGTTATATTATTCAGGAATTGAATTCTTCATCAACGAGTATTAGATCATTTCCTCATTTTTCCCACTTAGGGCTACATATATGATAAGATTTCTATTGATATATACCTGGGTGAATTTTTCCTGTTTCATTTACTCGATAAGGTTAGTCACACTTGTTCGTTTGACTTTAGCTTGGATGAATTAGTATGGCATGTGTCGTATAAAATAAGTACTTAACTGTAGTGTTTCAAGTAAGACGGCAGCATATGATACTTATGCGCCAGCTACTACTGGACAACGTGAAATATGGGTACTATAGCATTCATGTTTGCCCATCTGTGAGAAACAGGATATAGTTTGTAAGCAATATTTGTCCCAGATCTCTTCCATAGTAATCTTAAATCTCGAAATCTGTTTAATACATCATTGTGCCCTCTTCTATGCTAAAAATCATGACTTGCTTAACTGGATGGTGACTTGAGTCTTGCTTAAACTCTTCCCCCTCTTATGGTCTTGCCAGATGCTTACTTCCTGCAAAAATGTCAGTGGAAGCACCTAGAGATCTCAAAACATTGCCAAAAGCTGGGAAGCTCACTAATATCTCCAGAAATGGGAATACTTCCGAGACACAGGTTGAGAATATTGATGAATATCATGAAGAAAAGGAAAGAGAAAATCCCATCTTACTAGTAGAACCTATCCATAATGAAGATTGCAAGGTAAATTCTGGGGTGGAGGTGGGAACTTCAGAAGTAGAATACATTGAATCTGAGAATTTGGAGGATGTGGAAGACGTAGATATGAGCCTGAAGGTATTATAATCTGGAGATTTCATATCGTTTCTCTGTTGTTTTGGGTTGCTTATATCAGTTGAATAAGTCTATTCTCAATGTTTTGTATATATCCTACCATTTTATAGACAATGTTGGCGGGCTGGAATCCAAGGTCTGGATTTTGGTGTGTGAGGCACTCAATGATGTGCGGAGGTTGTGCAAGTTTCACAGAGAAGCAACGCTTGATATTTTGTGAGTCTTATTTTTAAATTCAGATATATCCATTGGTTTCAACAGATCTATGTTATGTGTTCTCTGTTTCCTGGTTGTACTAATTTTGTATACTTTACATAAGCAGGGTAAATGTAATCTCGCTTGTTGTGAAATCCTTGAAGAGTCCTAGAAGTGCTGTATGTAAGACTGCTATCATGACTTCAGCTGACATTTTCAAAGCATACTGTGACAGCGTTGTTGACTTAATAGATCCACTGGTAAGCTTAGATTTTAACTGACCTTGAACTGCATGCACATGCAATTTAGTTTTCTGAGCCATTATTTTAAATCCTTGTGCTTATAAAGTGACTCTCATGTGCTTAGCTTGTTCAACTTCTGCTTAAATCTTCACAAGACAAGCGATTTTTTTGTGAGGCAGCTGAGAAAGCTCTGATATCCATGACGACATGGGTTTCTCCAGTTCTATTGTTAGCTAAGCTGCAACCTTATCTTAAAAACAAAAATCCTCGAATTCGAGCTAAGGCTTCAATGTGCATTTCTCGAAGTGCACCACATCTGGTTAGAGTTCTGAACTACCAACTTCTTTCTGATATTCATTTTGACTGATGACTGATGAAGCTTCAGCTACAAGTTTGATAATTAATACGTGATTCATTTTGCAACCTTTTCGTTCATTTATCTGCTAACTGAGATCTTATCATACTTAGTTTTATAGACCACATCTATATCCTAGAATGAGCTAGAGAAAGAAATTTATTTTAAAAGTATTTAATACTGTATTATTAACATAATATTGTCAGTGATCTTAATCTACTAAAACTATTTAAACATATCCAAAGGAGTTTAATGCCGGCGTGACCATCATATTTTGATGATTATCTCTGCATTATTTAAAATGAAGTTCTACCAAAATCTTAATAAAGTATCAGAAGTCACAGTAAAACTGTGGAACTTTAAAGTACTCCCTTTGTCCCTAATTATTTGGCTACTTTAGAATTGGCACACCTTTTAGGAAAACAACGATTGATATAATGAGTTTACCATTTTATCCCTATTAATTATGAAGTGGATCAATTAAAAATTGTAGATTTTTCAAGAAGTTCTATCTTTTTCAACGGAATTAATTGAGGGTATAATTAGGTTTAAAAAAATTGTCCCTTGATTTGTTAAAATTGACAAGTAAAAAGGAACAAGTAAAAGATGAAATTGGATAAGTAATTAGGGACTGAGGGAGTATTTACTTTGTCATGCATGATCATAGTACTTGCAAAACAAATAAAAGAGGAATAAAATGTTTGTCCTGATTCAAGTTTTGAATAGACAAAGTCTTATGGCCATTTACATCCTTGATGTTCAGTAGTATATGAGATTGTCTCTAATGGACTTGCACGATTGGCAGGGATCTGATGGAATCAAAGCATATGGGATTGAAAAGCTGATCCAACTCGCCGCATCTCAGCTCAGTGACAAACTCCCTGAATCAAGGGAGGCTGCTCGTGATCAATTGTTAGATCTGCAAAATGTCTACGAGAAAACACTTGATATGATGCCAATAGACGTGAGTGAAAACCCCCAAATAAATTCCTGGGAGCATTTCTGTCAATCGAAGCTCTCGCCTTTAAGTGCTCTAGCTGTTCTTCGTGTGACAAATGTCGCCCGGTAGTATCTTGTTTTGGTTCGTGTAGTTTATGCAAAGTATCGAGTTCTAGTGAGCATGTCTTGTCTTTATTCTATATATACCTGTAAATACCATCAAAGGCGTGAGGTGCTTGAAGGCACAGTTAAATCATGTACTGTAGCTATAAAAACCTACAGTGTCATGATTACACGGTTTATAGTGATAATCCACTGGCGGATGCATCTACCAAATATAGTTGTAATTTTGGTAACTTCTGTTTGTTTGCCATATCAATGACGAACAATTCATCGTATCAAATTCGACGAGATTTGTTTCGTTGTGGCCAAGGGTGTTAGCTACCAGTTTGTTCCACATCTGCTGCTCAATTTGATTGGCTGGTGAGTCATCAGATGCACTTTGATTTTCTCTTTTCATGTAAAAAATCTTCTGCTTGTTGCAAGACCTTTCGTTGTCCACTGTGGGTTGGTCAACTTCTTTAGGTGTAAAACTACAAATAGGTATGTTCAGAGAACAATCTCTTTTCGAAAAAAGCTAATTGGCCTAACCCATTACATTTCTATAAAGACGTTGAATGTAGGCTTCCTTGGTCTTTTACTTTCCAAAATAAATGACCTAATTTGGAGAAATGATAGCAATATGATAAATAGATAAGTTTCTGCTGTCTGCGCCTTTATGAATACTTTAATGTTGTACAACAACTACTATGTTTGTATGTTCTCCACCAACTCCACAAGTGCTATAAACTTAAACCCCACGAAACATGTGCCTCCAGTTTATGCCCATCTGAAGTAGGCCTGTTCTCCATAAAACCAGAACCATACATTCTACTACTTGCAATCTTTTAAGTATATTCATACTCCATTTCTCTTCAACCCGAGGAAATAACCTCTTGATACTGCTCATGATCTTGACATAATTGTTGTTTCACTGATGGAGCAAAAGTTGAGATGAACAACTATGTGTTAGGATGATAATAGCGATATCAATGATATTGCTCTTTGTTGGGATCGGAGTTCTGATCCTGATTCACATCTGTATCGTTGGGAGAGCATACAGACGAGGAATTGGAACTACTAACATAGTAGAAAGAGGCAGCTTAGCTAGCAACAGCATGTCCCATGAGGATATAGAAAAGCTTCCTTCCTATGCCTTTCAGTCCAAAGATCCAATGGAATGTGCTGTTTGTTTGGATAATCTCAAAGTAGGTGAAAAGTGCAGGTTGTTGCCCCTTTGCAATCACAGTTTTCATGCTGAATGCATAGACTTATGGCTCTTGAAAACATCCATTTGTCCAATATGCAGATCTACTGCTGATTTTCTAAAAGGTGGATCGATATCTGGTGGAGAAAGTAGCCGATACAGTGAAAGTGGAAGGCAGGAATTAAACGCGGAAACTGCCGAATTAGCAATGATATTGGTACCAGAGAGTGACACTCCTATCAACAGCTTAAGCTTTGAGACGAGAACAAGTCAGAGTTAGGCTCAAGACAGTGAGCAATTGAGTGGAATTGGTCAAATAGATGACCAAATTACTAGTGAAGTTAATGTGAACATTAATGAGAATTCTACTGAGTTGAGAGTACTTCCCCAAACTATAGAAAGTATAAATTTGGTCCATGAAGAAATACAGCAATAAAGAAACACCCAAACAGCTCAATTAAGCTAATTAATTAGCTGATCAGAGTTGACAATCATTATATAGGTATGTTGCTTAATTTACCAAGAAAATATTTCTTTGAATGTAAAACTAATATAAATATATTCTTCTCTTTTTATTTATATAAAAAGGTTTGTTGTTAATTGTTTGCAATCGAGGCACCATATACATGTACTTCTGTAGAGGAAATTTTCTTTTTCTTTTCTCAAAGATAATTCATTTTCTTTTGGTGTTTGATGATTTAAACCCATAACCTAGCTAGCTAATTACAATTTTAGTAAAGGGTGTCAAATGGGCAGGTTGGGTTGAAATTTGAGAAATTAAAATGGGTTGAGACAGAAATCGAATTGGATCTTAATCTGTCTAAGTTTACTTTTGGCTCAAATAGCTAAAAAAGGGGATGGGTTTTGATCCAATTAATCTCAATAATTTTAACATAGTGATAATTAACTTTTATAATCACAATTCGAATTTCCGCTCAAGATCTTTTTTTTTAAAAGTAACAAATTGATATAATAAATCCTAAAAATGTTAAATAAATATTAATTCATACCTTTAATGAACATATCTTAGTAAAATTGGGCCAATTAAGGATTCTCTTAAATGGGTTAGACCTGAATTGGTTGAAATTAGGGAAAATTATACATAATAGCAAACATTTAAATTAAAATAAATCTTATAGCTACTGTTTGAAACATTTGTACTCCGTAGCAAATTTGCACAAATTTTGCCATTTGGTTCGGACCCACTCATCAAGCAGAAGATTTATTTTTATTCAAATTCATTCCCTATCTTTTCTCTCCTATTTTATTTAGTTATCCTTAAAATTTCTTCCCAAATCAATTATTTTTAATTGGTTGTGGCCCACCATCTATCTTAATACAAATCTGTTAGCTATTTTTACTCTTCCAATTTCTTTCAATTTTTTCTAAAATCTCTCTCCAAATTCGATTTTTCTTAAATAATTATATATCCTTATACAAACACAAATGTATAAAATGTGTTTGTGTTTGTATAAAACGAGAGGAAATTGTATAAATACATGTATTTTTCGTTCGCTTTTGCCTTTCTTTCTTTCTTGTTTTATACAAATTTAAATTGTATATTGTTTCTCTCTTTTTCATTTTATACAATTCGATTCAATTGTATATTTTCTGCCCAAATCTTTTTTGTCTCTCTCTTCCTCATTTTATACAAATTCAAATTGCATATAATCGTTATATACACTTATAATTACACATACAATTCATCTTATACACTTCTTTTATACAACTCTCTACCCAATTCTCTTTCTCTTTCTCGTTTTATACACTTCATTTTATACAATTCGCTTTAATTGTATATGTATAGCAAATTATACATTTATATGTTTGCTATGGAGTGCAATTATGCAAACTTTGCTATAGCATACAAATATGAATTTTATGTTTGCTATATGTGAAAGTTGCCCTTGAAATTAAACCCAATTTTTATTGTAAAAATTATGTAAATGACATAGTGT